TGGCACTGCCCATAAACTTTTATTACCACTAATGGCGTTAAAGCTAACACAGCTGCCAACTCTCCTGCCTCGAAATACAATGGATATAAATCTAATTGGGGCATCTACAATCAACTTTTTGGTTGCCCTTAGAAAACAACTATATTCTGTGTCAGTGGCCCAATTCGCAGGACAGAAGTAACAAAGGACTATAGAAAGTAAGTCCTTGTGAAAAGGAACCTAGACTGCTGCTCAGCTCTAGCTCTCATGTGGAGCAAGGTTCAGAATCACGACTTGCAGATGGGGGCTCCTGAACGACTGAAAAGGGTGGACGCGGGGCAAACTAGAGACAATGACACCATATGAAGTTTAGAGTCATGCTGTTATTAAAACATAATAAGCATTAGAGTAAAGAAGATTGGGGTAAAAAAATCAAGGCTAGATCCATAATAAAAGGACTTCAGCCCTAGATATTACAATTCCGGGAAAGTTTCAGGGGTGCCATAAAACTTTATGGGAAAGGTGAATAATTACATTCCAACCACAATCCCCTCCCTCAAGCCAAGTGCTCTTGAAAACTACACTTTGATGCTGCATTCTCCTTACACAGCCACCCTCGCTGCTCCAGGCATTCACCACAGAAAGGGGTTTTAGTGGGTTTCTTTCTCTCTCTCTGGCTAATGGTATCATTGCCTTTTCTGTCTAATTTCACAAAATGGAAACAAGAGACAGTTTATCGCTGGCAGCAAACTTGCAGGCTGAGTGGGAAACACAGCAGGGGCGCTGCCCCGAGGCTGGAAGGGGGAACAGATACACTTCCTTACAAAAGCTCAGAGCGCTAAAGCTGATGAAAAGTAAATATGAGAAAACGTGGCAAATAAAATGTTATTGCATTAGGACAAACCCATTTATTCTTTCCAGCCTTCTGTCCCGACACTAAAATAACTCAGGTTCTTATGGCTCCCTGAACTGTCACTTACGTTCTATGTCATAATGTCTTCCTGCTGCTTGTTGGCCTGAAAAACTCCTACTCACCCTTCAAGTCTAAGCTCAAACACTACCACCTCCCTGGAAAGCTGCTTTGATTCTCCCCAATAGATGCTCCCCTTCCTCAGGTGCTCCCTCAGTGCTCCTCCGCTACAGCAGCTCCGTGCCATCGCAGTGATTTCTAAACCTGTGAGCAGCTCTGTAGTTGCCTGCCTGTCTGCCTGCCTGCCTGCCTTCTGGGGCGATACCATGTCTCTCCATCACTGCATCTCCTGGTGCACGACTTGTACCACATAGGTACTTCAGAATCAAAGAACTCCCAACGTCTCAACATGAAGAGGCAACACCCATCCACCCAAGCCTCTCCGTCCCAGTCCATCTGGTTTAGAACTCCGTTATCGATCTGCTAGATTAAAGTAGCCTCTTCGTTGGTCTTCTCAATTCTGCTCCCTCTTCCCTTGAGTCCATTCCATATGCACCACTGACACCGAACTCTTACTAAAGCACAATTTTAACAGTACCGGGTTGAGCAGTTGATGATGCAGAGAATGAAAAGTTGAAAAACACCTGTTCTCTAAGCTGAACGGACTCAAATCCAACAGGGTGGAGAAAGAAGTAAATAATTAACATATAACTTCTCAGGTGTTGCAGAGATATTTCCAACTCACGCTAATCTTTCTCCCTGGCATGTCCTTCACTCATAAATGGTCGATTCCTATTTCACCTTAATATAGGAAGCCTCCCTAATCTCTCCAGCCAGCAGTCTTTCCTTCCTCTGCTCCCACCGTGCCCTGTTACTTGCTTACTACTTTCTGCTTGAATGATAGTTATTTGCACCCATACATTATGTCTCTTACTGGATTGAACCTTTCTAAGTAAAAGCGCAATACATTTTACTTGCCTCTCTCTTGCCATGGTACCTAATACAGTTGCCCAGAAAACAGCTGATAAATATTGAACTGTGATGCTTAATCTCATCAAAATATTCTGAGTCTGTGATTCCTTTCAGATTTGCTAGTATTAAGAGTATCAGTGGGTCAAATACATACAATTCAGAAGACTGGAATTTTTCCACTCTGGCCACAAAAACAGAAAGTCTATTCTGTTTGGCGAGATTAATAGTGGACATATGGAGAATACCCTTAACCAGATTTGAAAGATGTGTCCAAATGAAATGGATCTCTATTGTAAAAACACAACAAAGGCAACTCCCTAGTGTTAAAAAGCAGGCAACCAGGCCCTGCTGACAAATACAGAAAAGATACGAAGGGTAAACATGGCGTGGTGTTTCCATAATGGGGACTAGTCAATGGGCAAGTGCTTAACAAGCGAAAAGGTCCATAGCTCAGTAAAAACGAAATGTCATAAAACAAGATACTGGCACAAGATATTTTTTAAATGGATCCTTAAATAAACTCTCTGGTCCCTGAAATAACACAACTTTCTAGAGGTGAATACTTGTAGCTTATCCATTCTTTAAAGTTTACAACCGACTTCCTTCAACAGGGCTAATGTAAGACATCTCATCAAGCCCTCGTTAGAACCCCCAATTCTTTCATTTCACGTTTGAAATAATACCTCTCCTCTCTCCAGCCCATTCCTTCCTCATAATTAGTTAAGTTAAACGCAACAGTTTCGTGCAGAATGAGTTAGACGGCAACTTAACTACCATTCCCCTCAATCACAAGAACTGAGGACTTAAAGCTTTATGATTTAAAAATGCAGAACTAAAGTTCCAACTTCTCAATTTTGGCCGAAAAGGAAGCTCAAAACTACAACATGTTTTAAGAAAACGCTGTGCTGCCATGATATAAATACCTGCTCCTAACTGGCTCGAGTAAAGCCAGAACATTTGATCACATCATTTGTTTTGGCATTAAGACTACTGAGGGCAAGAACTGGCTCAGCTACCAGCTTAGCAAACTGCCTGTGGCAGCTTTTAATCTAAAGACCCGAATTTAAGTTTTGCTTTGAGGAGTAAGTGAGAAAATGTGTAAAAATGTCTTACAAAGCTCTAAAGCACAGTACAAATATAAGGTTGTTACCAGTATTATTTTTACAGTAGCTCTCTCCAAGAGCAAGTCCCCTCTACAGGAGATCTGAATAGAGCTGAAATGTTTCTGTACACTCTTCCCAAGAGAATTTATGATTTACAGCAAAACTGTAAATAATTCCTAAAAAAGAAGGGGAAAGAGGGAAGATAGAAAATTCAGGCTGGACTAGAAGAAGGAGGTAAATTAAATAGCAAAGGAGAAGTTTTGTAATAAAATTAAGCAATATAAGAGAAAGGAAACTCAGACCTCAGGGACCAGTTTCCAACTCCGCCACTTAACCCCGAGCGGCCCTAGGCCCTTCACTTTACTAGGCTCCAGTTTCCTCATTTGTAAGTAGAGATGATAACTCAGAGGGTTGCCGTGGGGATTTAAATGAGATAATATTTATATAAAGTACTTAGCACTGTATCTGGTAGATAGTAAGTGTTAAGTAAACGATTACGTTCCTGATAACGTTATTATTAGACCTGTACCCTGATCGGTGACATTCAGGAAGAAAAAGGAGCCAAGAACATGTCAGCTGGAAAGGTGATGTACAGAGAGCTGAGGCTACACACCACTGTGTGGCGGGACAATGTTTGAGAAATACAGATTACGCAGAGCATTTTTCATAATAAACTCACACATCACTTACCGTGTCTCCTGCACCGCTGAAGAATCTAGAGAAGCGTAGCCAGAATCTCCAAGTCATAAAAGCAGAAGTGCAATGACTGTATGGACAGAGAGCAGGACTGGGAAGAAAAAAAAAAAGGCACTTATTGATGCGTACAGAAGCTTCTCTGATTCCAAACTTTCGATTTTCTAAATTTTCATATAGACAGAATGAAAGTGAGGCTGTACAGCAAAGATGGAACAACTCTGCTTGCCCGAAATCGATGGTATTAGCAATCAGGCATAGTCCTTAAAGTCTCTGCCGTCTTGCTCTGTATTCTGGGGAAGTGGTTGTACCTGTGATTGATTTTGAGGTGTTAACCATTACTAACTCCATCATACTCGGTAACTGCAAAAGCAGTAAAAGCGTTCCAAAATTAGGAAGAAGGGGAATAGAATCCCCACCGGAATGAGACAGAGAGATGGCAAATAACTGTAAAAGGTGAAAAAACAGATGCTACCTTTGCGCACAGGATCAGTGACTTTCATACTATTTAAACAGGTGAAAAGTCTACACCCCTGGAATCAGTAAGAATCAGCAAAGGACAAGGGAAACAGGAAACCTTCCGTATGTGTGGCCAGGGAATCTGCATCAGTTTGGGTTGTCAACTGGTCTGGTGTTAGTTCAGGGAAAAGCAAGGCACTTCTTTAAGAATTCAAAAGCTGAGCATAACACAGGTACTATTATCATAAGCCACAGACAAACTGCAAAAGTTTGAGGCCTTTTTGAATTTACACAACATCAGTGTGAATGAGCGGCTCACCATCTGCCCTGTAACTGCTAAGGTCTTAGGGGGGCTACCTGTCTCAGTGGATTTTCAATGGAGACAAACACTAGCCTATAATGGGAAAAGGTGCCCTCCCCCAAATCTATCAGCACGGAGGTGAGAGGATGCTTGGTTTCCCTTTGCCTTTTCCCAGCTCACACTCCTTTTTACTGAGAATAGCCTTTCAAAACAAAACCTGTAGTTAGAGGAACACGTAACTTTTTTTTTTTAAATAACAAAGTATAGTGGACTTAAGAGCATCTCCCTGAAATTATGGGCTGATCATCCTGAAAATTTTGTCAATCGAGGTCGTAAATGGAAATAATGTACCATCACTATTGATTTAAGCTGTGTGGAAAAAATATCTTTTTTAAAAACGTGTTTTGCCATTTTTATCTTATGGTAATGAAATGTAAATACATGGGCTCTAAATCCTGGCTTCAGTTCTGCTACCTTTCCCGTTAGGCTTTAAGCTGATCAAGGTTTTCTAGGACCTGTGCCACTCACAGAAGACAACACTTACTAAATTCATTCACAAAGACTGTTCCTCTGCAGCTCTACCTAAAGCCACGAGGAAGGTCCACCAGGGCACCGACAAAGGTCTGCGTCTTGCTAGGCAGGTAAGGACAGACAGTACCCCATCCACTGCCTAGACAAACCTCAGTTTATTGTGATTTCAGTACTTAGATAACCAATAACAAAAGTGTCCTATTCCTAAAACTTCACGGACAAACTGAGCAGGACCATTCATTCAACAAAGAAGCATTTACTAAGTAGGCTTCTACCGGACCCAGTGCATTTCTACAACACCTTTCATTTCACAGTCCCAAAGAGCTTCCAAAGTTGCCCAAACATAAAGTATCAGTGACTGGACTTCTCTCACTTTATACACGTACAACACTCTAGCCAAAACACTCATTCAGCCATTATAAATTTAGCTGCTTATGGACATAAAAACTAAAAGGGCTGAGACTGAAATTCAATCATTAACTAAATTCCAACCTCACAATTCAATCCAAAATATATCCACCGCCAAGTGGTTTAAAAAAAAAATTACAAGCCAAAATATACCATGATTCAAACATTCCATTAGGTAAAGGAGTTAATATAGTTATAACTTCTTACTTCTAAATCCTTATGGGTACAGTGCTAGATAATAAATCAAATTTCTCAGAAGTCCCACTCAATGATTACATTTAACTTGCACCAAGAGCAACTTCCAAAAATGAAACAAATATCTAAAATGCCAAAAATAAATTATTAACCTGGGTTTTCATTATTTTGAAGCTCTTTCTAGAAAACAGAGCCCTACATTTAGGTGCCAGAGGAATATATTTTCTCAAATCACATCTTTGAAACTACAGACTTGACAAAGACCATCAGAGGTGGAACAGAAAATAAGGAGAGTGGTTAAGCACAGAAAAAGGTATAGTAAGGCAAAATGCCTGGGCGGGAATCCCCATTTTACCACTTTCTAGGTACCTCAGTTACCCTGTCTGCCAAATGGGAATAAAAACACCTCCTCCACACAATTGTTGTAAGGATCAAACCCAGGTAAATCAGTACTGTAAGGGTTTAGCAGCAAGCAGCATTACATAAAGTGGCTGCTTATTTTAATTACCACATGACTAGATCATACACAAATGCCTTTCCTTGCTGAAAGCCTTCCTTAATTGGTCTGGCAGAATTTAATCCCTCCCTCCTTGGCTTCTCCACAAAATGCACTGTGTATTTTAGTTATCTGGGTATATTTCCCTCCATTAGCTTTTATCTCCTTGAGGATAGAGACCACAGCTCATCTGAGTATACCTGGCAGCAAATACTGTTCATGGCTGCCCTTCAGCTCCTTCTCTCTAAAGGTTCTGAATAATAATGTCCTGTCAATTAGCAAAACTTTACCTGGAGACAGGAGCTTTATGTAATCAGTGCGCTGAAGCACTGGGCATACCTTGCTAAATATTCTCTGAAGACTGGAACATTTGGGGGGTGGAGGGGAGGAAAAGAAGGATTCACTTATTATTTTTAAACTACTGACTGAGGTTATCTTTTTAAATTACTATTTTTTAATTTCTTATGCTTTAAAAGCTTACTTCCATTATTTCATTCAAAAAGTCTATGGTGCTTTTAATATAAAAATACAGTAGCATAATTTCTGCATATGTTAAGTCCACCTAATCATAACTTGCCCATCTGCTGATTTTAATGTAATCTTGGGGGTGCTAGAGGACAATATGCTTGCTTGATTGACCCTCCACTGTTTACGTAAAATAAAATCATTTTAACAATACGTTGAGATGCAAATCTTTCCAGCTCTGATTTGTGTCCTCCTTTCTCACTCAAAAAAGTGCCACACACATGCAAAAAAACCCTTCCAGCTTATCCCACATCACTGGGAAAACACTTTTTAAAGTGTTATTCAACTTTACTAACATAATGATGTTGCCCTTACTTTGAAAGGACAGAACTTTTCTGAAAACAAATGGCTGAACTGACTCCATGGCTTTGTTACCACTTTCTACAAAGTACAATTTTTCCTTTTTTTTTTTTTTAAATAGTGTCCTACCTTTTGAAATTAATGTTTTCAGCGTAAAACTGCTGAGGACATCTTTTTATTTGCACCAAGATCCCTAGTCTCTATTCTTTGATTTATTTTAAAACAAACTCAAAAACAAAAGGCTCAAAAAGAATTGCACCCATTTAATGTGGTTTTTCTAAGTCTAATTTTTTTTTTTCATTTCCCAGTGGCAGGGCCTTTCAAAGGAGCACATTAACACACCCAGTTTGTTTCTCATTCTAAACATATCCCAACCAAATGGGAAACGCTATCAGCCATCTTAACAAGGAGAGTACCACAGAGCTAAACCAGATCGAAACAAAATAAATTTTTAATCCATTGTGTTTATCCATTGATCTCACTGTGTCCATCCTTTGAGATCAGGGTTCTTTACATAAAAGTACTTTGATGAACCTAGGCAATGAACAAATGTCATTATAATTTAACATCCTATTTTGTACTAATTTCTCTCCCGTCAAATAGTCACGAGAGTGACCAATTCACATACAATACCTCTCAGCTAATGGGTAGAGAGTATAATAAACTTAATTGTTTTATATATCCTGAGGCATACAAAGAAAGGCCAAACACAAAGAGGTTTACAGTATCTCATATACATCTACGATTGAGACAAAGAACTTTCAAAGATCTGCCCTGGATAAGTAAAACTGGGCTTAAACAATAGACCCTCCCTTAAAGTAGGGAGACCGGACAGTTTAAGCCCCTACTCCACTCACAGTCCCTAAAAGACAAAATCTCTCTTCCATCTTACAGCCAGGAGGCATACATTAAAAACCCATAAAGTTGTTTCCTCAAATTTTAGTAGTAGTAAAGTTAATACTCGGGCCACCTTTTCCAAGCAACTGGCTTCTGTCAAAACTTATCACAAGTTGCGTGAAATGTACAAGAGCGTTGCTTCTGCGTTTCATCAAGTGAGGAAAGACAGCATCACACTTTCTGGACGAGCCAACTGCTCCAGCACCACCAGCTCTCCCAGCCCCCCTCCCCATTTTTTTTTTAATATCTTTCCTCCAAACTTACAACCCGAAAAGCGATTCCACAAAACAAACGCGGCATCAGTAAACGGAGGGTCACTGGTTTTGAAAAATAAAGTTTGCTCCTTTGCTATCAACCTGACAACTTTTTAAAGGTGAAATGTGTGTTACTCAATCGGGCACAAGCTTTCCTATTCCCATATGGAACAACCGACCACTCGTTTGTCCCCGGTAGCAAAGGTGGGAAAAAAGGGAGTGGGGTGGGGGGAAAGATGTTGAAAAGAAGGGTCCAGGGTTCCCGTGGTGGGGGCAGGTTTGGAGACCGGTTTTGAACATTCCGTGGCTTCAGGGAGCTGGGCGGCTTTACTGTGTCTATCTGAGAAATGTTTAGCAATCTGACGCATCAGTTTTTAGGAATGGTACACAAACAGCCCCCACAATCTCAGAGCCATGCCCAGAATCCTCCCCCTCGGTGGCATCGGCTGGAGGGCACGGGACGGGAGAGCAGGGGACACGGGAGAGGATCCGCGACATTTGTTATTGTTTATGAAGCCCAGCCAGAACCCGGAGCGCGGCGCTCGGGGGCCGAGGGGTGGAAGGGGAAAGGAGCCGGGAAGGACAAAGATGCCTCCTCGGGCTCGAGGCCACCTCTCTGGACACCCGGGGCCAGCATCAGCCCGCGGAACAAGAGGGCCAAGGCCGCCGCCGGAGCTTCCCCGGAGACATTTCCAGCCCCGAAATTAGCCCGGCTTTCCCTGGACACCCGAAAGCACGTAAGCTCTCCTCCCGCTCCCGCTCGCGGAGTTGGCGCTGGCGCGGCCAGCCAGGCCCCCCGGCTCCCGCCGCCGCGGAGCGCCGCATCCGCGCACTCACCTGCCTCCGGTCGCGCCCGCGGCCGGCTCAGCCTCCGCACGGACCGCAGCCGGCCCGGCGCCCGTCCGCTCCCTTCTGCCCGCTCCGCCCTCGCCCCGCCCCCGGGAGGTGGGACCGGCCGCCGCGCCGGAATCTCGGGGCGGCCCTCCTGAACTCTCGCGAGCCCTCCCTCCTCGGCTTCTCGGTGGCTGGGCCGGTCCGACTCGGCCCTGACGTCATACGCACCACAGCCGGAAGTAGCCTTCTGTCGTCAACGCCGGCCCCCCCCCAGCGCCACCCACTTGTGCCTAGTGAGTTCCTGATTGGCCCGGGCGGCGTTGCGCCGGGAGGCACCGCGCCCCTCCCTTCGCAGCCTCACCCCACTCCCTATTCTCTGCCCAAAGCTAATTCAGGCTGCTCTTAGTGTTGCCACCTTAGGCATGTGTCCTTAATGTCGTCAGAGTTTTTCTTGATACTTCACTATGCAGTGTGAATGTTAGAAGTGGAAGGGGCTTAGGGATCACTACAATTATTTTTTTGAAACATTTTGCAGAGTAGGAAAATGTGGTCAACAAAATGGATTGGCTGACCAAGTTGCTTAGTTAGTAGCTGTGGGATCTAGAAGCCACCAGCTTCCTTGACCTTTTTGCTTTTCACCCTAACTCGACTCTAGAGACTTGAGAGGGATTCAC